GGTTCAATTAATATTGAAAATAACAATTTAATATCTTGTTGTTGTGGAAAACGTTGCAAAAGCAGAAAAGGTTTAATTATGCATCAACGGTCTTGCAAAATACATAAATCGCTACAACTACCACAAGAAGTTTCGGAAGCTGAAAGCAATGCAACATCTCCGTCAATATCCGACAGCCAAACTTCGACAACAAACCACCCTCAATCGCCAACGCCACCTTCCGCTGAGACAATCATATCAACTCTACCTGGCGTCAAACTGCCTAAAAAGCCAGCCCAGTGGTTATTTAGGCCAACATCTTCTTCCAGCTACAGCTCAAATACCTTCCGGGTTATGATAACCTCGATGAATTTACTAACGCTTTTCAATCCATGGTTTATAAATACTTCGCTCAGAACTATGGAACTGTTAAGCTTCATAATGATCAACCCATCAACACAAATAAATCCGTTAAAGAACTGAAAAAACAACTTAAACATCTAAAAGTACTGGGTCATAATAATCACAATTTTGACAAACAAATCATCAACACCAGCAAAATTCTTCGCTCCAAGATATTATCATTAAAACTTTCAAAACGTGAAAAAAAAATTAACAATCTCTACTCAATTAAAACAACGTTTCTGGTGGGTGGTCATGCAAAAGAATATTCAATACAACAAAAAGCATGAGCCCACTATTCAACGCAATCGATTGCAAACAATATTTTGGCAACATCGTAAACAACCTCAACCACAAAAAATATCAACTTCCTAATTGGATACAAAACTTACCAACACCATCAACTCCATGCAACATCAATCCTCCTACCTACAACGAAATATGTTCAATAATACGCAAATACAAATCAAAACCTTCACCTTGTCCGCTAGATCAAATCTCAGTAATTCCTTTCAAAAAATGTCCGATACTACGTACCACCCTACAAAAACTTTTCACTCAATGTTGGTTAACCTCCAGGATCCCATCATGTTGGAAAAAAGGTCTCACATTGCTCATTCACAAAAAAGGTGACGCTCACGATCCGGCCAACTTTAGACCAATAACCCTACAACCTACACTATATAAAATATTTTCATCAATCATAAACCATAGAATGTACAACTTTTTAGAAATAAATAATCTTATCAACAAAAATATTCAAAAAGAGTTTTATCCAAAAGTGGATGGCCTGACCGAACACACCCAGCTTTTATCTCATATGCTTAATGACGCCAAGAGACATCAAAGAACAATAATAAAATCTCTCTGCTGGATCTTCGGAATGCTTTCGGTGAGGTTAGCCACGACCTGATATCATCCACTTTGGACCATCATCACATACCACCCATTATCAGCAACTTAATAAGATTCATATACGCCAACTATACAATATCCGTTTCAGGTTGCGATGTACTAACACCGCCCATCCCGGTCAAACGTGGCGTGCTTCAAGGCGATCCTGTTTCGCCATTGCTATTTAATTTGTACTTCAACCCCCTAATGAAAATACTGGAAAAGCCCGAATATCAACAATGCGGCTATATATGGGGTCCAACAGCAAACTTGAAGACTAGAGCATGGCTGCAATTTGATGACGATACAGCAATAATCGCCAACAGCACAGAAAGCGCTCAAAAACTAATCAATATAAACCAGGCTTGGTATGTAAACACACAATCACAACTGGTATGCAAATAAGATTAATTAAATGCTCATCATTCGGTATGAGAAAAAATAATGGCGTACATGAACAGTTCCTTCCTAAACTAACTATCGACGACAAAACTATTCCTCAAATTGAAATAGGCGGGCATTTTGTATATCTTGGGAAAATAAACGATTTTGAGGGAAACAACTCAGAAGCGAAAAAACAGCTGATCGCTAAATTAAAAAATTTGTTGTCAACAATCAGCGAACTCGATACGTCAGCCCAGTGGAAGCTTCAAATCTTAAGAAAATATATACCATCTCAACTGGGTTTTGAGTTCCGGACATACGACTTTTCGTTGACATGGATTGGCAGTTGTCTTGACTTCTTGATGATTGAATCGGTTAGAGCATGGCTATCTTTGCCAATCAGTAGTTGTTTGTCGGAATGCTTATCGCTCCCTTTCAAACAAGGTGGATCGAACGTAAAAACTCTCCAACATTACGCCGAATCTCTAAGGATTAAACTTCGCAATTATTTAAAATCCAACGGCAATGAAGAACTAAAATGTTTGTGGAGAGAATCGTACAACAATTTCATCAAAATTGATAACATGCTTTCTAACTCGATCGACATCAAACCGACGCTCAAAGAACTAAAGGTACGACAACAGACGACAGCACTTGATCACTTGAATCCCTCCAGTGCCAAGGAACAATATTCAAGACAATTCAGGAACACATTCCAGCTGCTCGCATCGATCACTGGTCGCGATACACTACATGCCTTCCGGAGGTTCTCTTTAAGTTCGTTAGAAAATGTCTAGTATAACAACTCCCGACAAATGCCAACCTGCTCAGATTGGGTAAATCGTCCACTGCACAATGTCCACTATGCAGTGCTCGTCAAACAAACAAGCACGTTATGTCGAATTGCAGCTCGGAAACAGCGTTAAAAACAAAATTTTATCAATAATTTTGGACAAGTTGAAGTCATGCGCAAACTCAGAAGTCTCCATTTATGCGGATGCCGAGTAAGATAAATATCAACCATTATCTTGTCTCTTCAAGACGTTACGCCCAGACATTGCTCTTCTTCGAAACAACGCAATTAAAGTGTTGGAGTTAACAGTTTGCCATGAAACAAACTTCTTAAAATCAAAAGACTATAAGTTGGCAAAATATTCTCATCATCTCCACGATAATTTGTTAGACAATTTTAAACATTCTAAATTAATAATCAATACTTTCGAAATATCTCCATTAGGTTTATTTAAATTTTTTAATTTATCGCTCATCAATATTTTGTGGTGTGATAAATTCTGTTACAGTCTCATTAACTCAGCAATATCATCAACATATTCCTTATATTGTGACAGAAATGTCATTTGAATCAATTTTAGAACTAACTTTATCTAGTTGTACTCTTTTTAATTATTGATGAGCTTCGTAGATTATGGTGATTATTATATCATTTAATTTCTCATAATTTGATTCATTTATTTTATATTCATTTAAATTCATTTAATATTTATTTTATAATCATTTTCAATGCTACATTATTTTATTAACTTTGAATCTATTTGTTTTATTGGAAAATAAAAGGATGTTCTCATATATAATTGTTATTGAATAATTATCATTATTATAATTAATATTACCTCAACAATTTAATTCAATTATAATGTCGATATACTCAGATTATGCAATAACCATTTCAATTAACAACAAATTAACATCAACACTACCGGTCGAGAACGGTGTCCTCCAGGGTGATCCGTGCTCTCCGCTACTCTTCAATCTATGTTTCAATCCGCTAATGAAAATCCTTGAAACCAAAGAGTACACTAACTGTGGTTATTTCTGGGGCCCAACTTCAGGACTGAAAGCCAAATCTTGGCCCCAATTTGCTGACGACTCAGCGATTATCGCCCACAGTTCTGAAGGCGCCCAGAAACTAATCGATTTGAATTACGCGTGGTGCAATTGGTCAAAAATGAAAATGAGAATCGACAAATGCAACTCATTTGGCATGAGGAAACAAGAGGGGACCTACGAACAATTCTCTTCGAGATTGAAAATTGATGATGAAGTCATTCCAAACATAAAAATTGGAAGTAGTTTTGTCTACTTAGGTAGATTGTATGATTTTGAAGGTAAGGATACAAGACCCAAAAAGGAAATTAACTCAAAACTGACCAAATTGCTGGAGACCACCACTGGTCTGGACATCAAACCGCAACAGAAACTAAAAATACTACGATACTTCATTCCAACACAAATTCAATTTGAACTCCGCAACTATTATTTCTCGCCAACATGGATATCGTCCAACCTAGATAACCTGATCGTAAGTAAAGTCAGGGAGTGGCTCTCGATGCCGATCAGCGGATGTGTAGCGGAGATGCTTTCACTACCAATGAAACTCGGGGGTAATAACATCATGTCACTAAAAGACACTGCAGAAAAAACAAAAATGAAAGTTCGCAGCTATTTAAAGAACAGCGATAATGAAGAAATTAAATGCTTATGGCACGAAACCTCTTCAAACTTTGTCAAACCTGACAGTTCGCTGAAAGAAACAGACTCATTAAAGCAGTCTCTCAAACTCCTTGATGAATTCCGAGTGAAGTCATGTCTCAACCACATCATCGAACTTCAATCTCAAGGTACAGTGCTCAGGTCAATTGGCGAACTTATTACTCCGGCACGGATAACTTGTTGGTCGAAAATTGTTGACAACATGTCCGGGATACATTACAGATTTGTGAGGAAATACATAATTCAACAACTGCCCACAAATTCAAATCTGGTCAAATGGGGCAAAACCACGACTCCCTTGTGCCCACTGTGTAACGTTCGACAAACAAACAAGCATGTGGTGTCAAACTGTGGTTCAACATCGGCTCTGAAGAGATACACAGATAGACATAATAAAGTACTGGCGTTGATGATGGACGAGTTGAAGTTACAGGCTCCAAACGATTGCTGTTTGTTTGCAGATTTGGAAAGGGAAGGCATTCGTCCAATGTCACTCCTATTCAACACGTTACGACCAGACATTGCCATTTTGAGGGGCAACAAGATTTAAATATTGGAACTGACGATATGCCATGAAACTAATCTAATTTCATCGAAACAATATAAACAACAAAAATATAAAAATTTAAATGCATATCTAAATAAAGAATATAAAGATTGTTCTATAATAATTAATACATTTGAATTGTCGCCAATTGGTTTATGTAATAATTTTAATCTATCGATATTTAAATTTACATGGTCAATACCGTTCAACTTTAAATTAATAAACAGTGTTATTAGCTCGTCATATGGAATTTATTGTGGCAGAAACATTGCCTAATGCTATTTTAAATATAACTTACACCCATGCACTTGCCATTGGCAATGAGGATGGGTGGATCGTACATTTGATTATTTTTATTCTATTGATTATTTTATTTTATTCATTTTAACATTTTAGTTACAATTTATTATCTTAATATCTTATAGTTTCATTGTGCCGATTGGATAAATAAAATATGTTCACATATATTATTGTTATTGAGTAATTATTTCAATTATTATGCGAAAAAAAGTGTAAGTGAAACACGCCAAAAACCAAGATATAATATAAGTGTGAATGATGGAGGAGCAGTTGTGAACGAACCTTTGACGACACGGACAGGCAGGTCCCATTGTTTGCTCAGAGTTGGATGATGGTTGTCGAACAAACATTCCAAAGCAGGGTACGACATGAAAACATCGACATCCACACTCATCTCACATATGCTTTCGTCAGGTATTTTATTCTGCCAACATATAACTTCAACATGCATCAATGCAATCATATGCAGAAGGAACATTAATACTCCAAGAGTTTTAACATAAATGCATTTGGAACCAAAGAAATAAGTAAGACACAAAATTTGTGAAACCCTCATAGACCAGCAAGAAGAACATCTGACACAAGCAGTGCGTTTGGCACACTGCGACAAATTAAGGTTGACTGCAGTTGCTTGGTAATAAACATTTCCTTATGAATACCAATCTTAACTGACATTTTTAGCTCAATAAATTTTCACATTATTTTCAAAGTTCATCGCCATCACTTAGTACTTTTAGGCAACGATCAGGTTCTAATTTTTTCTAACACCTCGATCAAGTCAGCATGGAGTCATCAGATCCACAGTGGTAGTTAACTAATAATACTGATGATAATAATGTTATTTGTACGACACTTTATGCACAGCGTCAGAGATGAATGATAAGCTATCAGGTTAAAGTAACAAGAGTAAAAAAATTATTTTGAAATGCTACCAACTGGCCGAGTTTTTTGCATCTCATGAATGGTCCTCCTCATGAACTTCCTCTTTTTCTTCATCATTTTAATCCAACCAATTGTTCTGTCCAGTTGCTTTTCTTCATAACTGGAAACCCGCCCCTGTGTTAGTGAGGTCACAAGAAAGGTCACAAGGTCACACCAATTGCAAAAGTAGCAATTGTGCGTTGTGACATAATAATGGGATGTTGGGATCTGACTGAAACGACGTATTGACGCATTAACTAATGTTGCACGTTTTGTGACGTCTTGTAGCATCCGATGATGTGATGGATGACGATCCCACAACATGACGGCATTCAATCTAATGTTACTCTTACTGTTTATTTATACATTTTTATATGCAGTGAAGGAAATAAAGAAAGCGCTTCTGAAGTAAACTCATAAGAAGTGCTATACAAATTCTACAATACAATACAACACAATACAATACTGTCACCTATGTTAATGAAGCAATAAAACTCATTCACAAATTTCAATTTTGATGTATTTGCAACATCATATAATGATATTAATAATAATAATGATATTAATAAAAATGTAATAATTATTCTTATGTTTGCAATATTCAAAAGAAGACAAAAGCAAACAAACAAACAGTTTCAAATATTGTCGTTGGACGATTGAACTGGCAGTTGTTCGTCAAGTTGTTGTTTGCTAACATCAGAACATCATGCATGATGTAGTATGGCGGGTAATTTGAAACAGCACGTAACCTCATTTTGTTGTACACCTGTTTGCATGTTTGGATGAAATATTTGACCTTTAATAAAATATTTGACCCTTGATGATATATTTGACCTTTGATGAAATATTTGACCTTTGATGAAATATTTGATCTTTGATTTGACATATTTGAAAAAAATATTATTTGAAAGGTCAAATAATATTTGATCTTTAATGAAATAATATTTGACCTTAGATGAAATATTTGACCTTTGTACCCCAATGCTGGATTTGTGGTGAAAAAGGCCAGCGAATATTATAACAATATGAACATGTTAATGCAAGATGGGATAGTGGAGATATTAAATGTTAAATATAGTGTTAAAAATGAAACGTTTTAAATAATTAAAAATGTAATGAAATGATGCTAATGGGGCTGAAATCTGCTTATCAATATCCCATTCAGGATTTGTTGCTACAATTTTTAATTAAACAAAAAACTCACGCAGAAAAAAAAATGTAGAGAAGGATGGATGAACATGTAATCCGCTTCATTGAGGAGAGCCAACTGCTTCAGATACTTTAAGTACTCAGTCTGCTCTCGCAAGACCATTGCATGTAACTCCTAACAAAAATGTATAGGTACCATAAAATATTTAAGTGTAAAAAAACTTTTTAAAAGTTCTTTGTGGATAGAAATAATTAAAACGAGTGAAATGAAACTATCTAGACTGTATGGCAAAAAAATGTCAGCACCAAACCTTGAAAGTTGCAAGTTGTTTGTGGTCCTGTGAACTAGTGGGTGGACCTGAAGTGAATCTTTGAAACAACTGAAGGTAGAGTTTGTGCTGGTCTGACGACAACGAGGAGAACATGGGCTGCTTCATTTTTATCAATCCAAACTTTTTCCCATCGCAGTTGCTTCTTATAAAATGTTATATGAAACTTTAAATATAGTACTGTCAAAACTAATTCAAGTTAATTGTAGTTTAAAATAAACCATAAAAAACAATTTGTAAAAGATATGGCGTCGCATGAAATAAGAGGCAGTCTACTGTGAGAGTTGATGTATGCCGATAATCTGACCATTTGATGGAGATGGCGAAGGATGGAAGGTGGCTGAAAGAAAAATTGTTAAGATGGATATGTTAAGATGGAACTGTTAAGATAAAGCAATTGGAGAGAAAGGATATGAAAGCGAACCTAGCTAAAACAAAAAGTAATAAGAGTAGGTGGTGGGCTAGATTGTGCACAGTGAGAAGCTTCTGAGTGCAGTGTGTGTCCAAAGAATGAGTGGTAGTTCCATCTTCTAAACAAAATAAAACAAGTGAACTCAAACAAAAAACTTGTAGTGGGGTGAACAGGCTTTTGTGAAGGTTAGGGATAAATTTGTTTGTATGCATCATTTGAAACTTACAATAAAAATTAAGTTGGTTATATACGGAAGATTTTTGTTTAAAAGAGTTTGGACAAATAACTACCTTGCAAATGTATTACAAAAGAGAGGTGACTCTTTGATAGAGTGAAAAATGAATCGACTATATGTGAATAATGTTTTTGTGGTAATATAGAAGTTGATAGACATAAATTGTGCTGCTAGTAAGAAAAAAGAAATGAAGTTATTTTTATTAAATTCACTACTTTAAATGTTTTATAATAATATAATTCCACTGTATTATTACTTTTTACTTCAGAAGTATGTTTATTTAAAATTTGATACTTTTTCTTTAGACAAGTACATTTACATGAGTAACTTTTCACATCTCACTTGTACTTCTGCTTATGTACTGAAGTCCATCCAGTACTTTTTATGTTACATTACAACACTACATAAAATGATAAATTTCAGAAATTAAAAAATATACCCTGTGGAGCAAAGAGCACTCTTGGAATTAACACAGCTGGTTTTCCTAAGTGGAATATTTTCAACATCAGCAAGATAGGTTGAGGCGGATGCTATGCGATCATTAAACAAATCAAATGTTGATTTGTCAATAAAGGATGAGAATGCCATCTCTCTAAAAAAAAATTAAAACATTAAGTGATATAATGGTATAATTGATAAAATGATATAATTATTATATTATATTATATTATGATACCAGATACGTATACATGTAAACGTAATACATAAACTATGAGTAATGTAATACAAGACAAGAACACAGAAAGCCAATTATCATCAAAAGGATTGTCTTAAATGACTGAGCAGGATGATTAAAAAAGCCATATAGCGGAAATTTGTACAACGAATGAGGTGAGAGGTTGCAATAGTTTTTAAAAAAACTTACCATAATCCTAAAATATTTTTTTTGCTATAATATAATATAATGAAAATACATATAATAGTAAAAAAATTTTATGTTAAGGTTAGGTTAGTGTTAGGGTTTTTAGGGCATTTCTAATGCATCAAATGCTAACCCCAAGGCCCCAGGGCAGATCTTTGGTTTTGCCTAAAATAGCTAGCTACCTGTCTCACATTTTGTCATTTTTTTTTAAATATTTAGTATTAAAAATCTAAAATTATTAAATTAGTTGTAAATTATATTATTAATAAATTATATTAGGTATAATTATATATTATTATTATAAAAACAAAACTACACTACAGAAATAAAATAATAAAGCTTCAAGAGTTCAATCAAATTGAGAAAATAAAATTAAATAGCTCACATCACAAGGAATGAAAATAAAAAATAAGGATAAAAAAAAACAAAACTATTACCATATATTCCACATATGTGGCACTAACTAATTATTAATTAGAGATCTTCAACAAAAAAGTCACCACAACAACTCTTCGTTTTTAAATTAAATATTTCTTGTTGTAGTTGGCTAAAATAATGAACTTTAAAACCACTTTTAAGCCATAAACATAATAACGCCGGTAATACATATTAAATTCTATAGATATGCCTGTCAAGCGCAAAGATCATAAATCATCGTTGCTGTGTGACAAAAGAAAAAAGGTACTAAATATGCCAAAATATTTAAATAATGCATTAAATAAATTAATTAAAAAATAATAAAAACAGATACAATTTTTAAAAAATTATTAAATATTTATTTATAAACTATAACAATGTAAAAATTGTAAAATTTGGTAAATAATTAATTGTCCATGAACACTAGAAGAGACACAAGACCATGGATATTAAAACGCAATGAAAATGTGCTCGAAGGCTTTTGAAGGCCAGTATAAGTATTTTAAGTATATTATATATAGTTGATATTACACTTGAAATTTATCGTATTTACACCACAGCGGTTTATTGTATATATAATTATATAATGTGTTTTTGATTATGTTGCAGCTTCAGACAAGCACGCGCTTTCAGTTAATTTATTAAATCGTTTTACAAAAAATGAAGTAACGGTAGAGGTAAATAGTACTGAGACAATAATTTGTAAATTTTAAAACTTATATATAATTGTTATGTTTGTTGCGTATCGAGTGCTAGAAAGCAAGATATGAAAATATATGATATACATTAACGACATCGACAAAGGAATACGATGAGAGATTGAAAAATTGCGACTTGACATTATTGGGAAAAAGAAGATGTAGAGGAGATCTAATCCAAACATATAAATTGATCACGAATAGGGAAACAACACCATACTCGAGATTTTTCAGGCTAGTAAACAGTGATAAACTACGAAGACACAGATTTAGGATTTTCAAAAACTCGGATGGAAAAATAAAGAGCAGATTCTTCAGCAGTAGAGTGGTCAACGCCTGGAACGAGCTAAGCGATGATGCAGTCTCTGCAAATTCACTCAACAGCTTCAAAGCCAAACTCGGACAGATAGGATATTAGGAGATCTAATTAGTAGTGGTTCTTACACAGACCATAGTCTTCTGAACCACTTTAAACCCCGTTAATAATAATAATAATAATAATAATATAAAAAAAGATAGAGACGGAGCAACTAAACAAGCTTTAGCATAAACTAAAGAAACATAGAGCAGAATCAGTAAATTATTATAAAAAAAAGTAAGAGCGAATGACAGTTATCAATCCTGGATAATAATAATGGAAATAAATATTTTATTTTGTTTCAATAAAATTAAATAAAATCAGGTACAAGATGACTGTGGAATCGATAATCAACTCATGGGTACAGACAGCCACCTTAACAATAAAAAAAACAATATATAAATGTTAAAGAGCATTTTAAAATTTATTAATAATAATAAAAATAAATATTTTATTTTGTTTTAATAAAATGAGGTACAAGATGCCTGTGGAATCGACAATCAACTTATGGGTACAGACAGCCACCTTAGAAGAATATTAAAGAAACAATATATAAATGTTCAAGAGCATTTTAAAATATTTTTTAAAATGATAACGTTTTTCAGTTCAACATATATTAAATTTTTTTAATTCAATTTAAAATTTATTCTGTTTCTTAAATCATATTGTAAGCCATTTTCCAGAATTTTGTTTCAGATTCTGGGTCCTCTGTATAGATAGTATAAGATATTCGTTTTTGATTTATTAACATGTATGTAGTTCAAACGTCTTCTATTTTCAACAGGTTTGAAGTATTCAATTAAAGACATGAAGAAGTCTGTAGAAGTTTTTTGTCAACTGTTAAATAACAATTCAACTATTGGTAATTCAATTGGGATTCATTTAATATTTTATATTTAAAAAATGAAACACACCTTTTATACATTAACTTTTCAATTATTTTAGAAAAGTTTGATAAGAGTGCAACTGGTCGATACTAATTAGTTACATCGTTATGTTTGTTATTGTTTGCGTTTTTATGGTAGTTTTTATTGAAACATTTTGAAGAAATCGTTTGATTTATGAGATTTTCAAGTATAGGTGCAATAATGTTATGTGAATTGTTGATTTTGATTGATAGGCCATTCTAACAATTGATGATTTTGGTTTGAAGAGTTTTGATGTTGCTATGATTTCTTCACACCTGGTTGATAAGCAAAAATTGAATTTGACAATTTTTTTGCTAAACGGTTGAAGCGGCAAATAACGAAGCTTGGTAAGTCTTGCGTTATGTTGATAAGGTAATCGTTGAAATCGTTTGTAGAACCGTTGATAATTTGGTTGTTAGTATTGTAATTGCTTTGTTGTTTTTATGATTTTTTATAATATTGTTGATAACGGACAACATTTTTTATTACCTTTGATATTTTTCAATAAGATTGCTGTAATACTGTTTTTTGAACGTTTACTATTTTAACAAATGAATGACTTAGGTTTTATATTCAAGCAAATTTTCAATTCCAGGGTTTTTAACATATTTTTTAATATAAACTGTTTTTTCTATTACTTTTTTAATATTGTTAGTCGTCCATGGCTACTCTCTATTCAGATTTTTACTTTTCTCAGTGAAACTAAATTATTTGACAATGCTAATTAAGACTTGTTGCATAAATTTGAACAAACAACTGAAATGCTTAAATCTTCACAATTCAAAACACCCGACCAATCGATGTCACACAAACATTCATTTAATCTGTCTATTCGTTCATTCATAATTAAATACACTTTTTTTAGGTAATTTTGCCTGGCGGTTTTAATATTTGTCGATTAACCATTGCAAAAATAGGCAAATGATCAGATAGATCGTACAGCTGAGTTCCGCAAAATTTAACATTTTCTAACTCATTCGAAAAGATCGAGGTTTGGTTGAACTTAATCGAGTTGGCTGGTACTTGGACCAGTAGTTTTAAATCATAAGATGTAACAAGTTGTAGAAGTCTATTAACATTTGAATCAGCTTCAAGTAAATTAATATTTAACCTCACATTAGATAAAACTATTTATTCTCAAAACCATACAAAAATATAAATAGTTACAACTGTTCAATGCACGTTTTGGCATCATAATTTGGAGGACGATATGTAATCAAAATTATGCCATTTTTATATGATTTGTTTATTATTTCTATTCCAAATATTTCAAATTCGTTATCAACAAAGATGTTTTATATTTTTCCTTATTTTGATATCAATGCTATTATCTATATAATAACCAACACCACCACTAGTTTACCAGACCTGTTCCTTACAAAATCAAAACCATCAATATCTATCAATACATTGTTATTGTTATTTAACCAAGTCTCACTAATTCCAGTTTTATTATACTTAAAGGAGAAAAAGTGTAGACATTCAAATAATTCTGATTTAATGACTAAACTTCGAACATGCATTATAAAGAAAAAAGAATTTTTTATGTTAATACATGTTCAAATCGTTCATTTCTTTTCTATCTTCATCTTCACTCATTCTACAATCGTTACTAGCGACATTAATTTTTGTGTCATCTGAAGAATTTTGATCAAATAAAGTAGCAAGAGAAGAGTAAGATCATCAAAGAATGGCAAGTTTTTTATTTTGCATAGATGAAAATAACACTTTATAGCACACGATTTATCTAAGAGAAACGTTTGAATCAAAAAACAAAACATTGAATGCGAAACTTGTGAGAAAAATCAACAGTTCGAGAATTAGGTAAGATGTCAATAGAATAGTTGAGATAGTAACCATACTAACAGAGTTTTTAGACATATTAAAACACAATAGTTTAAATTAAAAAGATTAAATGTATGCAGGATCAAGTAAAATCGCAGTGGAGACAAATTTAACGTGTTTATGAGTAGCGGAAACAAATTTAGACAAACCAAATTTTTGAACCTCAACGAATCGTAAACCGAAAGTTACCTAAGTTTACACGTAAAGTATCATGCCTAAATAAGCTGGGTATAGGCTCTAGAACTAAAACTTTATTTAAAGTGTCCAATTTTGTTTGTCCTGCTTGCATCAATCCACAACAACTAATTCGAAATAGCAATGTTTTTGAAGCCATTAAGGTAGAGAAAGTCACATAGTTTCAATATCTAGGGGATGTTCTGGATTGTACTGGAACAGCTGAAGCTGCCGTTCGAGCACGCATACGCGTTCGAGCAGCCTGGAATAAATGGCATCTCCTTGCCTCTATAATGATGCGGCGTGACATCCCACTACCACTACGATCAAGACTTTATAAATCTGTGATACGTCCGGTGTTGCTATATGGTGCAGAAACATGGCCAATGACAACCAAACTGGAACAACAACTTCAACGAGCCGACATGAAAATGCTCCGATGGATGCAACGAATTAGTCTGAAGGACCACATCAAATCCACCGAAATCCTGCGTCGTGCTGGTTTAGATGCTATAAAGGACGAATGCCGGCAACACCGGCGGTGGTTTGGTCATGTCAAACGAAGTAGAAACAGTGCCATAACTTCTCTTGCAGATGTTGAAGTACCTGGCACACGTCCCAAAGGCCGTCCAAAGAAGTCCTGGTCGCAAACAATCGAGCAAGACATGAAAGCTCTAAATTTAAATGAAATGGATACAACTGATCGTCTAATTTGGCGCAAAAAGTTGATGGCAAAGAAAACAACGTCCTACCTCTGGACGCAAAACGAAGATTGATTGATATAGACTCTAGAACTGAAATAAAAAATGATACTACGATGACGAGGAATAATTGTAAACTCAAAACGGGAGGCCATCACGGATTGCGACCAAGCAAACATGCACGATCCTGTCCATCACAATTTCAAATGTCCTTTAATTGATTTCATTAAGAAATTTAATCTCAGTGTTTATTTTTATGAATAGAAATAAGTTTATAACTTTTGATGGAAAACGTAAGTTAATTGAGTTGACGATGAAAACTTAATAAATTGTTTTTATTGATAAAACATTAAATGCTAAAATTACAATGTGATAAAAATCGTTACTTGGATATCACGTTACAGACTAAAATAATAAACATTTATTACATGTAAATAACATTGTTTTAGAAACAGCACAATAATGGTTATATCAAAAAATCGATACATCGGTGTAATTAAAATAAATTGATTATTCTGTTTAAATGCAGATTATAGCGTAAATCTAAACCATCGTGTGTTCAATTTTATCCTGACGATATTGAAATTAGATATTTTAAATTATATCAAACGAAAGTAATTTGATTGGAACAAATAATATCAGATATCATAATTTTTTTCCTTTAGAAGCACGTTCTTGAGGCGTGACCCTCCAAATATAACGGATCACATAAACATAAAAAATTGCGCTATAAAATGAAAGGCCGAGCAACCTCTGCATTGTTTATAATTAATTTGAACCTTCCATGCTAAGCCGTTTGTTTGAATTAGCGAGTGTCTAGGCCAGGAAGATGCAAAATAAAATATACGTAATACCGAGGCCACCATTTTTTTTTTTATAAAATTTTATAGGCTCGTTCAAATCATCTTGAAGACTAGAAATAAAGTTATTCCTAAACAAAAATTGAATGAGCAAAAAAAGTTCGTTGTAAATAAGAGACAACAAAAATGAAAAAGTAAATAATGGTAAACATTTAATTAAAATTAACATTAACCGTACCAACTCAAATCAGAATGACTAGATGGCAATGATTTTAATCAGGTTAGAAGAAAAAACAATAAAATGATAAACAATAAAACGTTAAAAATTAAAATGTTTATAAAGAACGATGAATTGCACTAGAAAGATAAATTAAATGATTAAATTTGTGGAATATCATAGCTTCAGTATATATTTTTAACAGTTTAAATTCAATGCGCTATACATAATGAGTGCATTAAGGATATTAATCAATACTATTTTGAATAGAAGTATAAAAATAAAAGCGTTTAATAAACGAAAATAGACTTATTAATAGAGTTAAAAAGAACAGGTAAATATGACATTATAAACGTTGCATGTGAACGAAACAAAGATACAAAACTCCTATGAACTTAGTAAGACCAAGAAATGAATGAATACTGGGTGAAAAACAAAACATGAAAACAATATAATAACTAAAACTTAATAATAAATTAAATTCATAAATTTGATAAAACTCGGTCATAAATGAACTGAACACCACGTTAATGCAGACATTCAACATTGTAACCAAATGTTATATTTGACATGAAAATGGATGCGACAAAATTTATTGATACAAAGCAGCAATGATTGACTTCATGAATGCAGCGGCTACGAGAGCTGCGTAGGGCTGCCACGTAATGTTGGTGGAACCATCCAGGTAGTCACTCACACCCCTGATCAGTAAGTAACTGTCCTTGCGATTTCCATCAATCGATTCAAGAACCTGACACAATCAAATATTACCAGTAATAATAATGATCTGGAATTTTACGTTGAACATGTAAAAGAGAGTTAACGTTTAGAAAGGTGTTACTATTGTTAATTAAAACAAGGGGGCATACTGAATACCTCACATCACAATTTATCAAAATAAAATTCAGAAAATTCAGATAAACTGTTGCATGTATTTTGCCGATAAACATTTTCCAGTCTGCATACAAAAATAAGATGTTTAAATTTTATGGTGTGAAACAAAATATTAAATATTTGTTATGCTACAACTACACATTACAATATCGTTATACTAAGCATCAAATATACCATACCATATATTTATATATTATACTATATACCATCCTTGCAATCACACACATTACATGCCAACACATTAGCTTCAACCTGATCAAATTCGCTATCGAATCCTATGCACTGATGCTTGGCGGCAAACTCCAACCTCAACTGGTCATTGTTCACAATAGGCTTTCCAGACCCAATGGGACCCATGCGAATCATTGGGAATCCTTGTTTGCTGTGGACCTCTCCTGGAGGGCCATTGCTTGATGGCTCAGGCATAGCTGGATGACCAACCTGAAATTGGAAATCGTGTATAAGCAACTCATTGATTTGATCAAAGCTACTTAATTTGATCTTTGAAAGTTTTCAACCTCATGCTCACATAATATCCGACAAAAATATTGCCTCTAACATTCAATTACAAAAAACAGCAAAACGAACCTCAATCACATCATTGCCTCCAACATTCATGAACAGTCGATCTGTTTCTTCGGGTGGCCTCGTGAACTCGACCTCTTGACCTTCTAGAATTTTCTGACCTTCAATGATATACTTCTCCCAAGGCAACAACTCATTGGTATTGGATGTTTTCGTTGAGGCAATGTCTCTGGCAACATTCAGCAGTGTTGAATCAGGCGCTCGCCAGCCCTTCAAAGAAAATTGTGTTGACTTCAATTCATCCTCTTCCTTTTCCTGGGTCGTTTTGTCACAATATATGTAATAGTAATCGTTGCTCGCTGTTGAAGCGTTGTTGTTGAATGCTGCAGACGTTGTTGATGTAACTGAATTATCAACTGGACTAGAAACTAGTAAGTCTCCGAGTCTGACATGTTTGTAGTAATCTGCATAGTGAGGCACTCCTCCACACACGCCAACCAGCAACACGTGATCAATTTCTCCAAACGTGCCTATTCATTTGAGTGTTTGAAGATATACTGCATGAAAATTCTCGTTGCTTGTTTGAAAGCGTGATAACAACTAAACAGACTCTAATTAACTGAAACTTCAAAATGCCAAAAGAAATGTAACTGAACGTGTGAGATGCTTAATTTGTTCATTGGCCATGAAATACTAAAATTTGAATAATTTAAAACGTTTCAATAAAAAAAATAAATAAAAAGAGACCAACCCAGCAGTCTGGTGGTGGTGTTGCCAGAAGATATCTGAGCTGCTCTCTGCCTCCCAATAGCAGGCAACTTTGTGGACACAACCTTTTGACCAGCAATAAATCCAATCGTGTATACGTTTGATTCACCTTGTACAAAAGTTTAGTTTAAACTTTAAATAATATTACAAAACTAACATAAATTTACATTTACACCAACGAAACTAAAAAATGGCAACAAAAAACAAAACCTCATAGTTAACAATTTATAGCATGAAGAACATCGATATTGAGACATGCCCACCTTCAGTTTTGAATTTAACGAAAGTCGTCTTGTCTTCCATCATAGCGTCCACAGCCAACTTTTCATAATACTTGGAAGTGATGATGGCCACTTTCGGTCGGGTACCGTCCATTTGTGAGGGCATGTTCTTCACGATCCTCAACTCTGCAAGGGAGGGGAGGGGTATTATTATCAATCATTCTGGGTGCTATCATCATCATTGGTTTGAAGATATCACTATTCTTATTATAAACTAAGTGTTTTCAGTTCTTAAAAAATAATTTATAATTTTGAGAGGCTCCATAATATTATTTTGTTGTGATTGGTGAGCTAATCGTGAGAACTGTAAAATATATATATATATATATATATATATATATATATATATATATATGTCGTTTGTATGCAATCCAACTGACTTAACTGCACGGAAGCATGTGCCTCCAACTAGGACCCAACATAAATTGTTCTGAGATAAAGAGCTCTGACAAATTTTGTTATCAACCTTAATTAAATTTATCCTCAACCCTTTGAATGGCTACGAAATACCACAGCATAAATAATATAAAACATTTCAGCATAAATAACAACAATAATAACAACAGCAATAATGATAATAACAAAAAAATAGGAGGACGAGATGAACCTGATTTCTTATCGAGGACCTTGCGGACCCATCTGCCTGGTTCGAGTTCCTTGATGAGGTTCCTCTCGAGCAGAACTTTCAGTTGTTCCTTCATCGTCGTCTCGTCCACCTTCAGCATCCTTCAGCGATATCAAGCAATTCATTCACTTCATTCATTCATCATTTGCTGAAATATGATTTGTCTAATTAATTCCCATACATCACAAGAGCATGAAAAATTATTGAAGAATATAGTCGTCAAGACAAGTGAAACCGTTATTAATTACACTTTTTGTTCTTTGTTATGAAGCACTGACTAGTGGAGAATTGCTTACTTAGACCTTTGTGCCAGCCACAAAAGTTGTATCACCCACACCATATGACACACACACACACATATTTTGCATGGCGTATGATAACATTCGAGTTTCGAACAACGTTCGAACCAGGTCATCGTGTAACAACAACATAAGACATGACACTTCTACCATCTGAGCTAACTTG